CATTTATTGTTCAGATAAGTGTGAGGGAGAGAGAGGAAGAGAAACATCGACATGAAAGGGACACAGCGAGTGGCTGCCACCCGCACGACCAACCAAAATCGGGGACAAAATGCAACCAAGGTATGTGCCCTTAGCGGGAACCGAATCCAGTCTCTCTGGACCGCAGGCTGACACTCTAACCGCTGAGCCAAACTGACCAGGGCCATTTTCCCTATTCTTTAAGCCATTTTGAAATGGGTTTCCTATTACCTGTGGCCAAAAGCATCCTGACGACTATAAAATCCTATGGAGAAGTTTTCTTTTTTATTTAGACTCTGTACAAAAAAAAAAAAAAAAATCACAGGACCCCTTCCTGTAGGAGTTTACCAATTCTACCACACAGATGCCATACATGAACTCACACATATGACACATATGGACACAGTCATATTCAGGCCTATGCATGAAGGGCAGCCTTTACGAGGGTGAGAATAAATACACTTGACATTTCCAAAACAGAACCGTTCTGTGACTACCATCCACGGCAGGCACTTCCCCAAAAGTGCCTTTCAAGGAGAAACTAATGTTGAGCTTTGTTTTCTGATTCATGTCATTCCTTAATGTGATAATATGTACCAGGGTGGGGAGAATGGAAAATATGGTGACAAGACTGGAGCAAGAAGGGAGGTACATAGCGCAGCAGCCCTCCAGCACTGTGGCTCCGGGACAGGCCCGAAGTCTGAATGCTAGCTCTGGGAAGGGACAGCCACCTAGCTCAGGAGCACCCAGCCCAGGGGCCCAGAAAATTCCCCCATCACTTCTATGGCACCTCCCAAAGCTAATCCTAACTTAAACATATTCAATAACATTCTTTAGTGTGGAAAACTTATAGTTTCTACCTTTTAAGTCCACCTTTAGAAAACAAGGTAGAAACTGTGTTTGTACATACACACGGCTTCAGGAGAAACCTCTCAGCACTCCCTTCCCTAACATCCTAATCCTTCTTACAAAGAATCCTGAACTGCCAATGTCCTTTTCCACGTCTGTCTGAGACCTTGTCTGGGGCGTGTTCTGCCTACATGAGTGGTGTGTGTGTGAGCAAGCGCACAGAGGTGGTAGTGGAAGGAGGCAAGAAGAGAGTAGGAAAAGGAGGAAGTATAGAGGTTCAGATCGATCTGCTGGCTTCTGCTGGTCCTGGATGACACTGGCAACACAGGGCTCTGGGCACATTTGCCTTCTGTAGAACCCAGAGTACACGGCACAGGCCAACTAAGCCTCTAGACCACACTCTGAGAAAGAGAAAAGCCAGAGACTGATAGAGCAAGAGAAGCAGAGGGAGACAGGAACATAGAGGAAGACAGAGATATAACACCTCGCAGTGAACCCAACATGAGAAATGGCCAGAGCAATGCTGAGTGAAGGAAAACGTGTGAGCCGGGCGCAAACACTGAGACAGGTCAGTAAGCCTGGACAAGTGGAATAGGGAAACTGAGACAGCTGGCCAAACAAACTGACAGAGTAATTTATAGGAGACACTACAAATCACATTTAGGCCTCAGTTTTATTTCAGCTACAGATCCAGAAAAGCAGTAAAACCAGGTAGGTGACACCAGGACCAGCTGCAATGAAGGACCCTTCCCTGACACTGACCAATCAGTGAAGACCACATACCCTGAAGGAGCACACCTAGAAAAGGGATGAATATTCTGCTGAAACCTCCCCTGAGATCTCACCTGGCCTGTAAGAAAGAGATAAAAGCCTCAAGACAAAGGACCCAGTGCTCACTCCCCCTCCCAGGAGCCAGCCCAGGCCTTCCCCTCCCCCACACCCCACAAGCTGTATCTGCTAAACTCTAAGGGACACCACAAGGGCAGCAATGAGCAGTGGCAGTTCATCCCAGGCAACCTCCCCGCCAAGCCTGTCCCCAAGGCCCCCTTTTCTCTGACTTCACTTCCCCAGCCCATTCTTGTTTCACTGTCCCCTGCTTTATAAGTATCCTCTAAAAGTTACCTGGACTTGTGTTGTGAAACGTTTTCTGCACAAAGTCAATAACCCACACACTACTAGTGGCCCTAGGCAGACCTGCCGAGTGCCAGGTCCCCTTTCAGTAACAACACCAGGCTGACATCAAGTAGCTGGTGACTTCTCATGGGTAAAAGACACCATGCGTTCAGCCTTCTCAGTTGTAAACCAAGCAGGCTGAACTAGAAGCCCTGTGGGAACTCCCCTCTCTGAATGTATCATAAAGTCCACACCGCCAGCATAAGAAAAAATAAAAGAAACTTAATTTGTATCTTTCCAGAAAGAAAACAAGAGCACAGCTCCACCTGAGACTGGGCGGGGTAAATGGACTTTGAAGATTAGAGAATATCATTAGCGAATAGAGGAAAAATCAGCAGAACCCATGTAAAATGTTACCTCCAACAGATTTTAGCGCCCAACCTTCAGGGCCTTGGTACCTTATGAAAAATATCTGCTGATGAAGCCCCAAACCCAGCTCCTGCTACAGGTTCCTGAACAGGTGGCTGTAACATCATGGCTACTGAGAGTCCACATAGTTCCAAAATGTCTCTAGATTCAGAAATAGCAACTTGCAAAAAAGAAACCTTCAAAGTGTGAAGAAGTAACCCTTAAGAACTAAGCAACAAACTAACACACAGCCGAAGAAAGCTGGAGACTTGAAGAACAGACCTGATATTTTTGGATTGATTAGTTTCCTAAGCATGTACTCTGCTCTGACTGATTAAAAGATGAAGAAGAAAAAGAGTAGGGCTGGGGATAGACAAGATAAGAAATAAAAATAGAGGGCACAGGCCAATAATGGTCCTGGCATCAACTGATGGCATGAAAGCAAGCAGCAGACCTTCCCAGGACACAGAAGACAGAATGGCTGAGGAGAAGAGTGGCATCCACACCACCACCTGAATTGTAATCTACTCACCTTGACCCGAGGCTATGACTAGATTCCATTCTTATGTAGGACTCCTGGCTAAGGCGACTAATTTCATTTTTATTATCAATAGACCTTCCTCGATATTTTTCCAGTAATAGGTTAATTACCTCTAGAAGTAAAGGAATTTTGCCTAAGATTATAGCTAAGATTGTAGCTGCCCACTGTTGGGAGGCATCTGCAGTTTCCGAGTAATGGTAATTGCAGGCATTTGCAGGTACTCCTGAGCCCGCTGTCACACCCACTATTGTACTGGTCCTCTGAGGAAGTGGGGGTGGAAGGAGGATGGGGCTTCTGTCTTCAAAATCAGACTAGCAAGAAGAATCCTGGCTGCTTCTCTGAGGGGAGACTATGCCCTTCGCAGCCCGCCAGTGAGAATAAAATGCTCCTTTACAATTTGGCTGTGCTGTGCGTCTCTGGTTATCTCGCTGACACATTATAACAACTTTCCCTTGTGGCTTTGGTGGCAGTTGACCTTGTGTTGGTATCCCACCTAAGATGGGTATGACAATCTTCTTGCACTGGGCTCTATTCTTATGCTACCATTGTATGAAAAACTCAGGTTCCAGAGCTCAGGGGGACCACCCACAGACTGGAGGTTCCAGCGTATGTGAAATGATTTATACTGTAAGTGGCCACTTAGCTGGTACTACAACATGGCACCCTTGAAAAGGAGGCCAGGCTGCTGTAGGGCAATGAAAAGCTAGGAAACTTCTGGGATATGTGAACTAGGGAAACTGAGGTAGAAAGTTAAAGTCAATAAGCTTTGAAGGCTACTTATAGCAGGGCCTTATCTTGAGAACAAAGGGTTAAAACCTCTCCTCACATAAGAATGCAGGAGAGAAGGGGGAAGGGAAGGGCTTACAGTAAATCATCCTGATGTTGTTAGAACAGCAGGGAGGAGGGGAAAAGAACAATATAAATTGCCAGGTACTTCCTATAAATTGTGGGAAAGCCATAACAAAGAAAAGGGGAGACTTTTAGAGTTAATCTGTATCATTATATCTAGCAGAAGAATGTTTTTTTTTTTTTTGGGTTTACAGACGGAAGGGTAAATAAGGCAGAAACCACCCATCACACTGGCTCTTCAGATTAGCTGAGAGCTCCTCTGTGCTTCATAAACCATATGCATAGGTTTGCTTGCTTTGCTTCATTAATAAATGTGTATGCTTTAACTTTTTAATAAATTTACTTGCATTAATATGTCAATAAACTCACTAAACACAATGCAATATTATCTGAGGTCTCTCATTTAAATTCACTTATATGAGAAGACAAGGGTCACGGTTGGGGACAGCCTACTCCCTCTGATTCAGGAGACTGTCCAATAACACCTCTCTGGTGTCTGTGGGAGATGCCTGTCATAGTTACAGAGAATAATAATATTCTACAAAAAAGATGGAAGTAGAATAAGAAAAAATAAAGCAATTTGTAAGGGACAATTCAGAGGAAAGGATGAATCTTAAGGATGGCAGAATACCAAACTAGTTTTTTTAAACAAAGTTTTTGCCTCACTCTCTAATCGTGATGGGTGGTAAAATTCACTGTAATATTGTCTTTTTTACCTGCTGATGAAAATTCATATCCCAAATATATAATCAGCAAAGTTTACTGTGATAAAAGACCACTATGACAACAAATTATTAGGTAATACTCATTATAGCACTGACCCTTGTCCTTAGCAAAAAGGAGCAACTGAATAATTGAGCATTTACAACTCAGCTGATAATAACAAAAACAGCAGCTAACATTCTTTGAGAGCTTGCAATTGTCAGTCACTATTCAGAGAATTTAACATGTATTAATTGAGTTAACCCTCCCAACAGTACCTACCTGTTACTGCATTTTGTAGAGTGACTGAAGCCCTCTTGATGTGGCCACAGAGCTAGAGGAAGCTGCAGAATGGGCAGTCTGCCTCCAGAGCCTGTGCCCCACCCGCCACACAAAACTCCAATTATTTTTTGTTTTATTCCACCCTTTAGTTTCATCTTCTAGATGGCTTGCATCTCAAAAATACCAAAAGGGCACAATGCACAGAAGGAGAAATGTGATAAAGCAGTACATTACTTACCATTGGGGAAAGCTAATACACTGATGATAAGAAAGAAGAAAATAACAGAGAGGATACCCCTCCAGATGTTGTCTTCTGGGACAGAGTCATCCCTGAAAACAGAAAAAGAACATTGAGTTTTCATTTTCAAATCTAAACCTAGGAGTCAGAGTTTGATGTTATAAAAACCAGGGGATTGCTAACTTTATTTTACTGAGCAAAGTCATTATGTACACTGCTTATTATTCATTATCATTTCCTAAAATAATACAATCTCAAAATAAAGTCTAGTTCTTACAAGAAAGGCAACTGGCAACGCTACACACCAACATACATTCTGTGGACATTTGAGAATCACTCTCCTTAAAAAAATAAAATAAAATAAAAAACAATCCAGGAAGTCTAAAGACAGGTTTACTTTGGAGAAATGCCTTTTGGTTTCAAGAATAACTCAGGACTGTGGCAAAGAAAATTTTCAAAATCAGAAAGAAGGCATAAGATTACAAGGAGAAAGGGCGTTAATGCAATGAAATTATATAATCTGTCCTTAAAGATGGGCAACTGGCTATCTAAAGTATTGATGAAAGGGGGAAGGGGAAGAAGGCACCTAAAAAAAAAAAGTTTAAAGAGAAAATAAAACACAAGATTTAAAATCAGACCAGAAGATAAAGAATTGTAAAGAAAAGAGATGAGCGTCCTCAGTGTCATGACTGGTCATTTCTAATTTATTACTGTATTCATCTCCTCTGTAACTTCAATAACTGAAATGGTTCTGTTTGTTGGTTTATATGTTATCTGTCTTTCCTGTAGAAAGATCATAATCTCCTGAAGGCAGGGAATTATTTACTTGTGTATCCTTGGGGCCTGGCACACAGTAGGCCCTCAAGTAGATATTAGTGGACTAATTATTGATTAGAGAGAAAATTTATTGTTAAAACGAAGTGAAAATTTTCTCAATATTCATGGTGGGAAAGAAGAATTAGGTTTTGACAGTTTATATTTTAAAAAGAAGAAGAAGAGTCTAGTAACATATTTGGGGCTCTAGAGAAACAAACAAAAAAAAGGGGAGGGAAAAGAGAAATATAAGACAGTAAGATGTTCTGGCTTATTGATCATTGTTGAGAAGCCTGGGAAAGGGAAGTGTGGCATTTCAGTTTAGAAACGTGCAGGGTGAGCAGACAGAAAATGAGAGAAAAAGAGTGGAAGGAGATATCTGACAGAGAATGAGATATAGCAATACATTTAAAAATGACTACAAAATGTTGAGTTTATATGGAGAAGGCCTGCAGTAAAAAAATCTTTCAAAAGACACATATTAAATTAAGATGAAGCATTACTAAAGAAAAAAAAAGTAAATATCTGAGAAGAAAATTAAATAAGCATGAAAAAATTTAGAACATCAGAATACATGAAGAGGTGTGGAATGAAAAAAAAGTAAATTATCTAAAAAAGACTAGGTCCTGAGATGCTGTTTTAATTTAGGTATCAACTTCTGTTTAGACTACGTTTCTACACTCCATACATAATTTCCAGACTTATGACAGGATTGAACATAAGATAGTAAAATAAGAGATCGTACAGACCATAAATGTTTCTTAGATTTTCATATGGCCAAACAGCACTAACAGTGATGCTGGACAAACAAGGCTTAACTGTTATCTCACATAGATCTGATTATAAAACCAAACTAAAGAATCAAACTTCCTCCTGCAGTGACATACAATCCTACATTAATGGACACTAATGACTTAACATCTGCCCGGAAGTTATGAACACCGCCCTAAGAATGCCAGCCTGATAAGAATGCCAGCTAGAAGATTACTAGGGTACTCGCGAAGCCCTCTGGTTTAAGCCAAATCCAACTTTCAGGAACACCAGCTTTTACTGAAGAATGGCTCCATACAAGAAGTGTGGGGGACACTGTCCTCATTCAGACCAATATCACACTACTGATACTGATAATGATTAAGAGGATAATAACAGCTGTTCTCTGTCAAGTATCTACTGTGTGCTAGGCACTAAACGGCAGTTTATAAACATCATCTCCAATTGTCACAACCCATTTGCAAAATGGGGTATTAACTGAAATTTTCCATAGTTAAGTATGAAAAGCAAGGTAAGTTACAGAGGCCACAGCCCACAAGGTGACTAGAAAACCCGGTCAATTAACAAATGTGGTATCAAAGGCTCAGAAAGGTTATGTAACTTGCCCAAGGTTGTGTAGATAAGAAGCTGAAGAGTCAGCATTCAAATCAGGTCTGCTACACTCTGAAGATGATGATCTGCATGGCAAGCTGCCTCCTGAACAAACTATATCATTCTAAATCAATGTGACTCACATTAGATGCACAGGGATGGTACCAGAGGTTGACAGGGCACATACTTTGTAAGCTACAAAATAAAAGCAAGATTGAAACAAATAACTGCTGTCTGGGAAAATCCATACTTTATATTAAAATATATTCTGAATCATTCAAAGAATAAATGTAAAAAACCAAAACCAAAAAACTTTCTAGAAGGAATGATAGGAAAATTAAAAAAACCAAAACCAAAATACAACAATCTCAGAGCAGGAAAGACCTTTCTAAAGTATGACACAAAATCAGAAGTCATTTTTAAAAATAGATAAATTTGCACAGCAAAGAAATCAGTAAAGAAAAACTGATAAACTTGGAAAAAATATTTGCAACTCAGATCAAGGCAAAGTGTTCATTTCCTTAGTATACAAAGCACCCCCCTCAATCAATTAACAGAAAGAACAACAAATGCATAGAGAAAAACAGACAAATGGGCGAAGGATATGAAGAGACAGTTCGGCATGGGAAATCTAATGGCAAGTGAAAAGATGGTTAACCTCACTTGTGGTGACTGGCAAAAAAACAGTGAGAGACCATTTTTCATCTACCTTATGGACAAAGGTAAGAATTTAATGACTGAGCTAGTATGGATATAAAGAAACATGAACAGGCACTCTCACACATTGCTGGTGGTAGTATAAATTTAAACCACCTCCATGGAGGGCAATTTGGCAACATATTAAATATACACATGCATATACCCTGTGACTCAACAATTCCATGTATAGAACTTTATCCCACAGACATACCATCATTTGTGCAAAAATGACATATGTGCAAGGTTGTTTGTTCACTGGGGCATTATATATATTAGTACAATGTTAGAAATAGACTAAAAGTTCAACAAAAGGGGACTGATTAAATAAATTGTGGTCCCATCTCATAATGGAATACTAGGCAGCCATAGAAAGAATGAAGAAGCTTTTTTTTTTTTATCCTTACCTGAGGACACTTTTTCATTTTTTGTTCAGACAGAGCGGGAGAGAGAGAGAGAGAGAGAGAGAGAGAGAAACATCGATGTGAAAGAGACACATATTGAGTGGCCGCCACCCGCATGACCCAACCAGGGCAGGGGACAAACTGCAACCCAGGCACGTGCCCTTAGCAGACACCAAACCTGGGTCTCTCTGGACTACAGGCCAATGCTCTAACCGCTGAGCAAAACTGGCCAGGGCATGAAGCTTCTTATGAATTAACTGATACAGAATAATTTAAGAGCTATCATGAAGTAAATAAAGCAAGTTATAGAACAGTGGGAATAGTAAGCACTATTTGTACAAAAAAGGGTGTGTGTATGTGGGGTGTACATAACTTGTAACTGGTGCTTATAGCTGCAAAAAATGTCTCTAGAAACCTCCCCAAGAAACAATGACACTGGTTTTCTCAAAAGAGGAGAAAGGGGAGCAAGAAGGGGACTTTTCACCACATACCCTTTGGTATATCTTGGATATCAAGCAATGTGGACACACTATTCTTTTTTAAAAAGTTAATTAAAATTTTAGTTAAATAAATGGCTACAGTAAATCAAATCAGTCTTTATTTAAAATTGTTTATTAGTCAAACTATCTGAACACATACATCATTAAATTTATAAGAACTTGAGATCAGTAATAAATCCAGATATAAAACCAATTAGATGGTAATTTTATATATATTGAGCAATTTTATTAGAAAAAGAAGATCAGCCCTGGCCAGTTTGGCTCAGCGGTTAGAGCGTCAGCCTGCGGTCCGGAGAGACCCGGGTTCGGTTCCCGCTAAGGGCACGTACTTCGGCCCTGGTTGGTCGTGCAGGTGGCAGCCACTCGATGTGTCCCTTCACATCGATGTTTCTCTCTCTCTCTCCCTTCCTCTCTCTCCCTCCCACTCTATCTGTACAAAAAATGGAAAAATATCCTCGGGTGAGGATTAAAAAAAAAAAAGGAAAAGAAGATCAAATACATGGCCTAGTTTCAGGAGAAAAATGGCAGCCAATTAAACAACTTGAGTAAAATAGCAGTAGGTCTAAAAGTTGGCTGTTTTATAATTGTCTAGTTAGAAAAAAATGTATCAAAGATGAACAAGCAAGATCATTACATCAACTGAAAGTATACAGAACAAGAAGAGCAAACTTCTGCGATGAAAGGTTGGAGCTCAAGAAGAAATCTGAGTCATATCAAGCATGGCCCCAGCTTCACACCCTGAGTTTCAATAGACTATGCCCACAGACCCTTACAAGAAGTGGGCGCCCAGAAAGAACTGAATGAATGACTCATGAGGCTGCCCAAGTCCTCCCCACCCCCAACCTCCTGACAACCTGACCACACAGGGGCTATTCTCTGTTGCCTGAGTTCATCCTCTCTAAACTCTCAGTGAGCTTGAGACATAACCATACACTGAAGTACACAGTAATTTTCCATAGTTAATCATGAAAAGCAACTTGGCTGCAAAGGCCACAGACCACATGGGTGTCTCTAGACTATTATCTGTCTCACTCAGAATGCCAGCTTTGCATATTAGCTCCCTTAATCTTCGTATCACCCTAAAGGGGGGAAATAATCACAATCTACATTTTACTGATGGGGCCTGGCTCCAAAGTTTAAACTTTCTCCCCTTTTGGAGGCTTGAGGCAAGAATGCCTGAGCCAGAATTCTGGCTTCAATACTCATCAGCCTGTGTGACCTTGAGCAGATTACCCAACTTCTCTGTGCCCTGATAGGATGGTTGTAAGGATAAAATAACTTAGCACATGTACAGTACTTAGATCAGGGCCTGGCACA